ATTTTTCTGAGGATGGAAATGCTTCTCAGGAAAAAATTACAATTTTAAAGATTTTTCTGAATTTACAGATTTGTAAGACATTTGGATAGAAAAGCCACAATTTTTTAAATGGATGAATAAATACAGCCCTGGCTTTTGCTATGTTTTATGCATTTAATAAATTTCCGCCCGACTGTTTATTCTTTAATTCTACCTAACACAATTAATCGATAATTTTTTCTAATATAGAATTTTAGCATCAATTTTACATAATAACATGAGTAATCTTTTTTTAATTGAATTTTATCATTATTAACAAAATACTTTGGCACTATGAACTGAGAATTTTTTCCTTGACTTTTATCTTTCAATACTTTAGGAACTGGTCATTGATTTACATCTATAATAAAAAAATAAATGCTTGTATGAGTTTTAACATATTGTTAAAACTGCAATAAACCTCAGCTCCTTTGTTGCATGAATAATGTGAAACTTCCTGTTAAGTATTTTTTTAGCATCTTCTATGTAACAGTATAGACTCCATGATTATTCCTTAAAATTAGAAGTATCAGAAATAGATGTAAATATGTATTGTCTTCTGCATTAACTTACAAAAATAAAAGTGTGAATATCTGAATGGAATTATATAGAAAGAGCTACAGGACGCTATGTTTTCATAATGGTCATTCCACTATACTGGAAATATTAAATCAAACAATAAGTGCAGGAAAAGATTCAGTAAGAGGATATACTCTCTTCTGAAACAATACATTTGACTGTAGTTGTTCCATATGATATTTCTATACAACATCCCAAAATCTTGGTAAATAACTTTCTAAACTAAGTTTAGAGTGTAAAAAGAAGTAGTGGAAAAAATGTTGTAGTCATGTAACTGAGCTACCATGCATAAAAACTAATTATAAGTGTTATAAGTGTTTTTTATCTTAATTGTCTGTTACAACCAAATAACTAGATATGAGAAAGAACATGCAGTGTCAGTACAGCTGGATGATCCCTTTTACAGAGTTGCTAATTTGAAAACAAGTTAACCTGTAAAACTACCCTTCATACTGGTTTGCTTTAAATCCATTTGGTAACAAATATGCCATGTAAGTCTGTACCAATCAATCAATAAACCTTGTTACAAGCAAGTTTTTGTTTGCAGGATGCTGTTCATAATTGGTTTTCTTTTGGTGGTATAGCAACAGCGAAGGGAGAAAGATTCTGGGTAATTTAAATTCAACTAACATAGCAAATTCCATTCTTCTGTAACTTTATAATTTAATACAGCTTCATTTTTTCAGAATTTTATTCAAACTACTATTTCATCCATTGCAGACAAATTCCACAAGTGCATATTTTAAAATTAATTTCATGTTTAAAAAAGTATGATTTGTTATAAAAATAAAAATATGATTTGCTATGAAAATCATTGTAACTTAGACAAATACAAACACAAAAAAAAGAAAAAAAACATACAAAAATGGTGATGCTGCTTATTAAATACTGAAGAATTGTTATATGCACATATACATGGTTGACACAGTTTGGTGCATCCTGCTAAATTTGTTGTGGTAATATGGTAGCAAAAAAAAATTTTTTTGTCATTTTGTATTAAAATTATTAAGGTGTTGATGGCTAAGTTACACAAAGCAAGGTAACGTTAAGTAAGAGCTATGTACCTTAGGCAAAGGGATGCCTTTGAGAAGATCTTTCTATGCGAAATTGACTTGTATTCACATAATACATGAGGAGAAACAGGAAAATTCCCATGCAGCTATCCCATTCACCAGTATTTGTACCTGGATCAAACATCCAGTGTTCAGCTATCTTATCTGCTAGTCTACTGGTGCCAGTCAAAATAGACAGTAATGTAATATTATACAAGCTAAGTAGCATTGCCTTATACATCACTAAAGAAATAAATACATTTCAGAAAACTTTCCTGTTTTCCGAAAGTGTCAATATCTTCATTATTATAACTTCCTGATATTACAATGCATGTAATTTTATGATGAACTATTTAACTTAAAATAAAACAGAATATTTTTTTGAATTGGTTGTGTTTAATTATAAGATTATTTTGAAAAACGTTGTTCCTGATAAAACTAAAGAATGAATTTTTCTTTACACACTGACTGTTAAATTATTATATTTCAAATCAACAGACTGCAATTATACAATAAGACAGGATGAAAAATACAGTAGTCATTGAGGCAATTGTTGAGTTTCTGAAGAAACAATAATAAAATTTTCAAATCTAACACAGTACACCTTGTTTAATGTTTAATATAGTATGGAATGTTTTGTAAAGCAATCAGCTATTTAAAAAAAAAAAAGCATGCAATAGCTGACAATGAAACCAAATAAAAATCAAACAGAACTCTATTACACGTTATATGCAACAAAATTAATGAATATGAACGTCTATAAACCTTTTTTTTTAAACTTGGACCAGATCTTGAAACATCAACAAGATCTTAGGCAATAAAATTAATAAAAATTTATGTTGATAAGTACTTAAGAGCAAATAGAACAAAATGGCGTAACTTTCCACTAGATAACCAAATAAAGTGTTTACGTTCTAGAGGATTTTATTTACTTCACACGCATACATGCATTATCTCTACATTTACCTTCATAACTCGTATCATACATAACATACTGTTACAGAATGATTTTCTATAGTAGTAAGCAAATTTTTTTTAAGTTTCTATTTCCTGTCTGCAAAGTACTCCTTTAAATTGCAAGGTTTCGCGATATTCATTTTCCTCCTCACAAAGTTCATACACGAATCCAAAACATTAAGGAAAACCTTCGTAATCGATAAACGACGGCCATTTCATTATCGATGACAAGAGTCTGCCTATCGCTAGTAAAAGGAAAGTCTGGGCCATCTGAGAAAGCGGTGACCGTTTAACTACGTTAAGGTTGTCATCCGATGACGTACTTCTAGGAGGACAGCGTGATACCAAAGAATCTTTCGACATCACCTTCAAACTTTGGCGCTTTTTGGTGACGATATTTCAAGCATGCGCAGTTGTGCCCCTTTTCGTTCGGAGGGAGCCATTCCTGCTGCTGCGAAGCTTTCCTTCTTAACAATACATATTCTTTGCCTATTCCCCACGTGATATTTACTTCCGTTGGCGTAATGAAATGTTGCCCATATCCTTCACTTGCCAAGTTGGCGCAACCAAGGCTGTTCTCCGAACCTTATCTCATTTTTTTAAGATTTTAAAGGACCAAAAAATAATGATAATAATAATAATAAATAAAATAAAATAAAATAAAAAGGATAGCTTTGATTATTAATAATTGTTATCCTAGGGTTTATAATCTTATCTAAAAATGAGTCAGCGTTTTTAAATATTGAAATGAAATGAAATTTACTAAATCTACAGAAGGCAAGTGAAAGACGATCACTGAATGTATATCCTTTCCGCTTTAAAAAAATCCTATAGACCCTACTAAATCTTTTTCCAATCTCCAGCATTACAGACGGTTTTCAGCGCCCGGGGACAAGATTTTGCGCCCCTTTCTGTGTTCCAAGAATGGAAAACATTTCATTCTGAAATGTATATCATCAGTTTGCCGCCCCCTGGATGCTGCGCCCGAGGATGGATGTCCTCCCTTGCCCCACCTTAGCTACGCCACTGCTAATGCGGTGTTGCTATGGTACCCGTGTCATTAGCGTCAACTCTAATTCCATTTTCACCTTTGCGAGAATCCTGCCAAAGGTACAACCTGTTATTCTGATGTCAGAAAACCAGTGCAACGGTCAGCACCATCTATTGCCAAAAGGCTACATTCGTGTTTCTCAAAATTCACCCTTAAATTTAACTCGCCTAACTAGTTCCCAACCTCTCCCTTCCCAGACCCGAATCACTTGCGATGTGAATGACCTTTCGCAAGTGGTTCGTTTTTCCTGTTATTACACCACATCACAACTGATCAAGGAAACACAGAATCTTTTCAAAATTCATGATGTAACCCATAAAAATCGATTCCTGCCCTTTTTTTCATATCAAATTATTAATTTAAGTTTATCAATGTTTTTACCTTTTTTCACGGTGGAAAGCAGTTTACCATTTGTTTATTTTGACACTAAATTTACCTCTTTGAGTAACCCTCTTTTTGGTGATAATCTTTGATGATGCGGGGATAAAGGCATTCAGCCTATGAGCTTCGTAATTGAAACTTTCCTTGGTGGTTGTGGTCCTGTTTGATCGCCCTTGAATGTTATGCAAAAATAAAATAGCTTTTTTGCTTCTTTAAAATTTTTACATTGGCATATTTCCATCCCATTTCACTAACCGGAAGCTTAATGTGTCAATTGAAAGTTGGATAACTTGGATGCCCAGTTTTGAGCATTTTACATGGTAATATGGATAATTTTACAATAAACCATGTCGTGTGAAGCGGTCTGTTGTGTAGTAGTTGTGTATATTTGTGGTTGTAGGATCTTACAAAAATTCCAGTATTTATGGGATATTGCCTTTTAACTTTAAGTTTTTCTGAATGTGTTTTCGTCAGATGACTATTGGACATCCTAGCATTGATCAAGGCTAAGTCCCGCCCACAAATTTATGTTTTCTTTTTTATTATTATTAATTCTACTTCATCTTTTTTTTAAATTTTGGTATTTTTCCATGAACTTTGAACATTTATCTTACGAAAAATACAAAAACGTTATTACTCTGACAATTTTTAATGATACTAGAAGTATTATTCTTCACTTGCCTACTCTGCATGTTCAATCAAACCAAAGAATCTCTAAGGAGACTCTCAGATTCTTTGATCAAACAGAATGCACTAGGTGTATTTAATCTCGCTAAGTCTCGCCGTCATCTGTTGCTTCGCCAAGGAAGACGTACAAATTGTACTGTTTAAGATTTTTCACTAAGACTGCCCAGTAGGGATACTAATTTTTCGAGTAAAGGCCGATTCAAACGACCAAAATTCACCGTAACATTAAGTTTTATATTTGCATCCAGCTTTGGTTGGTGTGACTGGACTGACCGCAACTGCCGCGAACTATGTGTGTGAGCGCCGTGAAGCGATGTGAAGCTAAATGTACTTAAGTTTTTTTATTAAACTTTTGTGATTTTTGCATTGTTTATTTTCGTTTCAGTATCACCCAAGTCTGAAAATATTTTGCATAAGGTACGAACAACATAATTGGAAGCGTATTCCATAGTTTCTCTGAAAGATTTATTACTGCATTAAAATTTACGCGTGCAGTTTACTTGTCAAACGTGTTCAGGAGTGTATTGTTTTGATACGGTGTTTTATTATTTTATTTTTATTGTTATAGCTTGTGGTGTTGAATAATTGATAAATTTCTTGGGCATTTATTTTTACAGTTTCCTTAAACTCGTGCTGCCGTTTAAAGCGTTTCTTCTTTTATAGTATGTCACAGTAACGTTAAATAATAACCGTTATAGTGCATTTGTTGCAAAAGTTTGTTTGTTACTTGAAATACACGCTTTTTAAATAGACTTAAGATTTATACTCAAAGAGTGCGATCTGACGTGATAGGAAATTTGTCCTATTATTATTAATCTGTGTAATTGAAAAAAAAAAAAAAAAAAAAAAATGTGAAATACGCTATTATAAAAAAATTGGAGCATTTGGAGTAAAAATTGTAATAGCAGTGTTTTGGAATTATGTGTTATTTATTAAGTGCAGCAAATATGTTAAATACTAAATTATTTTCCATTTTTACCTTAATGTTTTGTTCTTATCTGTTACTGGCCATTTACTGACTTCCTTCATTTCGTAGTTTTATAAAAAAATCGCAGCCTTGCATTTAATTTTTGATGTTGTTATTCTTTTTGTGTAGTATATTTGCTACAATTTCCTTTAACATAGGAAAACATGCTGGACTAAAATCTGATCTTATCTGTTGTTTTTACTGTAAATATTTATTTTTTGAAGGACTAAAATAAACAGTGAAATTTCCGGGTATCATATATTTATGGACAAAAATTGGGGAAAGGGCAGAATCGCCCACTGCTTGGCGCATTTTTAAGAATTTCACATACTTGGTATCCATGTGCACATCAATCTATTTTCACTTAAAAAAAAAATCCCAGAATTGCGCAAAAATGGCATTGCGCCACTCCCTTGACATTATCCTTGTACATATCGACTTATTTTCACTTAAAAAGTCAAAGAAAATTGACTAAAATCCAATTCTTCTTACTTTTGTAAAAAGCGCCAAACAAACACCAATCAAATAAGTGGGCGATTCTGCACTTTAGCCATATACAAACTTTGAAATTCTGAATTTTAGCCATTACTTTATTTAAAAAAGAGAAAATAATGGTGAATCTTTGGATTATGGTAACTCGGCGATTTTTTGGTGAAAATTTGGCGACCAACCCATCTACAGCAACCTGCTAGTGTTTTTTTTTTTTTTTGAATGCCATTTTGTTTTCACGAAGTAAAGGCATGTTTTTGTTTTTACTCAACATTTTTTCCAACAATCTGCTAGCTGAATTATGCTTATGCTAGAACTTTTATGGAACAAAAGTGCTTAATCATGACGAAGATTAGGTGCAAAATTGTTTCTAAGTGCTTATTAGCTAAAATCATGATCAGAAGTTTCCGGAAATAGTGGAACAACGTGCACAGAATTTTTTTTTACAGAGAAATTTATATATGAAACATGTAAATAATTTTTCTCATAAAATAGAAAATTTGCACCAAAATGCAGGAAAATTTTGTGAATCTTGAAGTCGTAAAAAGGACATGTATAAATTTACCTGATCGCTAAAGTATGTATACTATGCAAGCTTTTATATCTTCCATCTTTGCATATACCCTTTCCAGATGAACATTTGCACGTATAAATAAATAAATATGCAAGAAATTACATTAATTTTCTTTTCCCTCTAAATTATCCATTATAAAAGTTACGACAAAATAATCTGTGTACTTCTCAGATTATTGCTAAAGTCCTAGCTAGTAAACTTTATCGCTTTACCAAAATGTCACCAAACTACCTGTTACCATATTCCAAAGATTAGCCAAAATAATGAAATATATTTATTTCAAGTTTCTTTCTTTTTTTTTTTATAAAGGTCACCTATAAGTGTTTTAATAAATCTGATAATAAAATGCATCAAGGATTGTCGAATTAAATATAAATAAGAAGTACTAGTTGCTAATATAGTATCTGATTTGATAGCTCTTATGAACAATTTGCTTGAAATCCTGCAGATCAACTAATTATGGTGAAGTTACAACGACCTTTTCTTATTTTATCTTTAAAAAATATGCACAGTAAAACCTTAATTGTCTCTTTCAGTACTGTTATCATAAACAGGTATTGGAAAGTCGTTCTACTATCACGAGCTTTATGCATCCAGCACTTATGAATAAACATGGAGTTCTGTTGTTTCCAGATAATGTCTGACTGCATACGGCCATGTCAAACATACAGCAAATCAATAATTCGAGACATAAAACTGTGCCTTATCCTCTGGATGAATACATGAATAAAGAGGGTGCAGCCCGCGCAAAACTGCTGAAAAACTGGTAGTTCGGTCCAACTTTCGAACCCCGGGGAACGGGCTGACTGAATGGGTTTTTTCGTGATTTTCCGCATGTGTAAGGTGTAAGCAGTACGTTATGGATGCATACGGGAATAAACCAGTTAAAATTGCCGGAAACTGGTACTTCGGTCCAACTTTCGAATATAGGCGAAATTAAACATGGGAATTCTTTTAAAAGCGGGCTTCAGCCCGCTTAGCTGGCAGGCTTGCCCGCTAGTACTAAATAAATTATGAAATGTTCAGTATACATATGATATGATATTCTTGCAACAAGTCATCTCCTGCCTGCGAGCGATGATCAAAACCAAATTAACTGTTAAAATTACCATTCTAAGCCACATGGAAACAGTACTACATAAATAAATAAATACAAAGAAATTACATGTACTTACTTTTATTATATTACCAGAAGATTTATTACATTACCTCATTTTTATACTAAATTATGCAATATTGTTCTCGAGTTTTCATCCACTGAGACCCGTTGCCGGTGTTGCATTTTTACTCCTTAAGCCAAGCCGTAAATGCGATTTTTAGTGGATGTAAATTCAAGTTACAATATATTAAGCATATGGTAGTAAAACAATATATTAATCATATGGTAGTAAAAATTCACAGATAATATGCATGTAGATGTAAAATTAACCTGTTGAACGTGATATACGAAAATAAATTTGTCTTAAATTCCAGTTAGCACAGAAAACAATATGTTCCTTACACCAGCAGTGGTTTGCTAATTTTTATGACCATGGGGATGCATCAGACTATTTTGTCATCTTAGATAATCAATAATATTTTTTATTTCAATTTAATCATCTGTTTATCTGTTTACCTGCTATCCTCTGAAAGGTTATTGTTAGAAAAGCATTAACAATATATTATCTTGTTAAAATTTAACACCATAAAAATTGATTTATTCTCATAATTTTAGATGACAATAAGCAATAATAAAAATAAAAGCATTACTTAATTATTTAAAATGCGCATGCTTATTTTTGCAGCCTATGAAAACAAATTATTTTAGGAGTTGGAAACCTCATGGTTCTGCGTGCTTATATCTGTTAATAATTAAGAACACACCGTGAACAGCCGTGTTACAAATTAGCGTTCACTCCTCCTGCCATATTTTCTTCCTTTCACCCCGAACCGTGAACCGGCATTTATCTACGAAACCTTCTTTAATTGTATGAAAATATTTCTATTTATTCGTTATTAAAAAGTTCAGAAAAAATAACATGAAAAATCAGAAAAAATAATAATAAATAAGAGAAGAAGAATATCAATCTGCAAATGCGAACAATGACAGTGATAATTCAGCAAAATGAATGCAAGAGAAATGGTTGCAAACTACGAACAAGCGAATAGGATGAATCTGCTGGGTTACCAGGTTTGAACTATTATCGCCAAAGTTGCCGATGTTTACGTTTACCGGGTTCTCTACGAAAGTGCTTCCTTGTTCTTTAAACATGTTAAAAGAGAAGTTCGAACAGTCCTGTTTGGCATCTGCTGATTGAAGCAGTCATAATTCACATTTGTCAATAGTAATTATTTTACTACTATAATCAGATAATGTTGACAGGCATTCCAATTTTCATTCATACAAACTCTGTGCTGATGTCTTTCAACGTACCAAGAAGTTTATCCCCATTGTTGACAAATTGCCACCACAATTCAGCAAGCTTGTGCGGCAGCATCGTGATTGTTGTTCATCTCATATCTCACATAATTTTTTATCAAGATGACTTCATAGACACTTCTGTTATCTGGGTTTTGGCATCATTAACAGGGTCAACAGAATTCCTCTGATGATTACAAGATTGCTTTGAGTCACCCAAAATAAGCAAGGTTAATGAGGAAACCAGTCTAGACCAAATCGTACAATTCATACTTTGAACCAAAGGAAGTACAGAGTATGTCACCTGTTATCATAGGTAACACTAGTAGATTACCTGTTGGGAGAATACCCAATATATTGATTTTATACAAAATGTGTTTGGTTTTTCAGAATTTTATACAAAGGGTATTTGTTATTTTAAATAAGATAGCTGTTTTTGTGTAATGATATGAAATATGTAAAGCATACTGCCTCTATAGGTATAAGTTTCATATGACTGGCGAGCTTTGTGTTCATTCAAAAGATAACGTTTTGTACAGTGGAATGCTCCTGTTGTTGATAAAAAAAGTCCGTTAAGTTTTTCTAAATATTAGTGTAATATTAAAGGTATATTTTTATTGCAGTGATCCATGTTCAGCAAAAGTTGAATAATAATATAAATAGGATTATGTATTTTGGTATCTGTTAGGGCAAAAATAATATGAACCTCCTCCACTTATTAACATAAGTGCTGCCAAATATTGCAAATCATAGAATTGCTGACATGTGCACACTTTTGCAAAAAAAAAATTGAAGCACCGAGGACTTTTGTGATCGTGACAAAATTTGGTATGCAAAAACATCTTGATCGAACATGCAAATGATCAAAGTTTCAAGGCAAATGAACAGGAATTGCGATC